ATTTATATATGGACTAGATAGATATTGTGAGGTATTTAGGTGTATCTGCGTATCGAGTCACTGTATGGATTGCAGTTAGATTAGAACTTGTTCGTGGGCCTGACCCACTCTTATTTTTCAGGTATTGGACGGTTCCAATCTTAGGCTTGATCGTGCTGTGCAGGGATTATCATTCATTCCACCGACGACGTAGGATGTCCTTCCATATTTTAGTATTTAGTTTTATATCAGTTGTTTACGTTTCAGTTGAGATTTTTATTTAGGGGTCCACTAGATGGATTCCCGAGTTGTAATTCATGAAAGTTTTGGAAGTTGGATTTTATTAAGTTTTATCAGGCTATTGAGGATTTTATATTAGTATTCTGTTCAGTTTTTAATAGTTATTCTTATTTCATTTTTTCATCTGTGTTCGTTTTAAAATACTTTAATTGTTTGATTTCCCTCGGGTTTGGGCCTAGGCCTGATCAACCCATGTCTCGGATCCGAGGGGTATTATAATAAGCACTAAATACACAGTTCATCAAGTCCATAAAAGCTGCTAGAGCATTGGTCAAACCAAATGGCATCACAAGGAACTCGTAATGGCCATACTGTATACGAAAAGCGGTCTTAAGGATATCTTCATCCCTGACTCTCAACTGATAGTAGCCTGACCTCAAATCTATCTTCGAAAAATACTTAGCTCCCTTCAATTGATCAAACAAGTCATTTATCCTCGGCAAATGATACTTGTTCTTGATCGTAGCATGGTTCAACTTACGATAGTCGATGCAAAGTCACAAAGAACCATCCTTCTTCTTCGCAAAAAGGACCGGTGCTCCCCACTGTGAAGCATTAGGGTGAATAAAGCCTTTTGCTTTCAAATCATTCAACTGGCTCTTCAATTCATTTAACTCCGCCGGTGCCATGCGATAAGGCGCCATAGAGATAGGCGCAGTACCGGGTATGACGTCAATGGTGAACATAACATCCCGCATGGGAGGCAACTCTGTCAATTCCTCTGAAAAGATATCAACGAACTCACCAACCATCGCTGGAAAATTATCACCCAGACTCCATTCTTCCTCAGCTATAAGGCTGACCAAGTAGAACCTGTGACGACCCCAATCACCAATACCATAAACGGTCAAAGTGTGTGAATCATTCCAATCTCCCATAAAACAAAAACAATCTCCATTGGGAGTACATACGGTCACCTTCCCTCGGAAGCAATCAATGGTGGCTCGAAAAAAAGACAACCAATCCATCCCAAGAATGACGGCAAAACCCGTCATCTTAAGAGGAATGAAGTCGAACCACAATGTCAGTCCGGCTATCTCAATAGCACAACCCCCACAAATCCTATCCAACTTAACTAGTCCCCCAACCGGTGTGTCAACACAAAGAACCCCATCCAAGGAAGTGATCTCCAACCCCAATAAATGTGCAAATGATGATGGAATGAATAAATATGATGCACCTGAGTCAATCAAAACTCTAGCCCAAGAACTGAACATAGGAAATATACCTCGAACAACTGAAGGTCCCACTGAAGTACTCGCTTGAGGAAGAGCAAAAACTCTGCCTTGTACTCCTGAACCCTAATGTCCACCACCCTGATACCCTGACTACTGTGAAGACATACTAGGTGTAGAGCCCCTAGCAGGTCATGAGCCCTGAACTGAAGCTGCAGGCTATGGTGTCTGAGGAACCCTGGATCCAAACTAGACCACGGATGACTGTGACTGCCTGAACTGTGATCCTGTACCACCACGTGATCCACTCCCCCTCTATGGGCACTCCCTCTTGAAATGTCTCGTCTGACCACAACTGAATCAAACATTCGGAAGTCCAGTCGAAGTAGCAAAAGACTGTGCGGTAAGTGTCTGAAGCTGTGGGCAACGTGGCCTAATATGTCCTGACTGATGACAATGGTGGCAGACCACCTCACGTGTGGATCCCAAAGATAAGAGAACTGTGGGTGCATGACGTGCCTGTTGTTGGGACCCCCGTGAGTATGAACTATCATTTCCTCCTCATTTGCCTCTATTCCTTTTCAACTGACTCCCTGAAGATGAAGCCTCACCCCTGAAATGCCTCTTGGGCTCCCTAATCCGCTGTGAGTCCCTGTCCCTCCACAAACAATGCCCACCTCACTACCTCATTATAGACCCTCAAATTCAAGACTGAAACTCGGGGCCTAATGTCAAGGTGTAGGTCGTCCTGAAACTTCAAGGCCCTGTCTTCATCGGTCCGCACCAAGTCCGGTGCGTAACGAGAAAGAGACGTAAACTTGTTCTCATACTCTATGACACTCATACTCCCTTGGTAGAGGCCATTGAACTTCTTTCTCATTTCCCTCATTGCGGTCCTTGGGAAATACTTTTCATAAAAGAGCCCCTGGAAGACCCAAGTCATCGTCTCAATATCATGGGTGTTGGTGATAGATCTCCACCAAACCTCGGCATCACCTGTGAATGAGAAAGATGCTAGAAATATCCTCAACCGATCTGTGGGCACCGCTATACCGTTAAGCTTCTTAACCGCCTGATCAAGCCAAAACTCTACAACTAGTGGATCAAAACCCCCTGCAAATGGCTCAAGCTTTAGCCTCTGAAACGTCACAAGGTAATCCATAGCCAGGTTAGCCACTACCAGCTCTGGAGGCCTCAATCCTGCGGTAACTCTTCGAACCATCTCCTCAATGGCCACTGTAAATCCACGTGTCATCTCTATCATCACCTGTGTGCCATTAAAAGGAGGTGGTGGGTCAACACCCACGCCTCTGCTCCTATCCCTCCTGGAGTGAACCATATCCCTAAGAAGTTGTGTCTCATCCATATGCTCCCCAAGGTTAGGATGCAAAGTCTTTCCAGTCTCACGTTTAGGCGGCATGGTTCTATAAGTACAATGGAAACATATGAATATAGATGTAAGTCAATAATAAAATAAAAGTGCTCATAATCCCATGCAACTCACTCAATGGAGGCATGAAACGCAATGCATGATAATACGAACAAATATGTAAATCATGCTAAGTTGTAAAATAAAATGTCTTAAACAATTAAGCACATAAGCACGTAACAAATAATTATCATGTAAACATGGAACACAAAATAAACCCAACCCATCGTCCTTAGGTTTTCAAATCCGGACGCTCTAATACCACATTGTCACGCTCCGAAATCCCATTACTCGAGTCGTGAAGAAAGGAAAGGAAAATAAAAATAAATAAGTAAATAAATAAATAAATTCACTATTAAAATAAAAAATAATAATTAACTAATTAAATAAATGAAGCCCACTTATTTAAACTCTTAAATCCCTGCCCAGTTACTAAAATGAATGTCACCCAACTAATACAATAAACAACCCAATAACAGGCCATGATGGTGCAACCCAATTCAATTGGGCGAATAAACAATAAGTAAATGAAAATAATAATAAAAATCTGGTTGTCAACCCCACCACCTGGGCGACAACACAGTGCGGCTCACCATTCGGGTCACCAAGAATATATATATATATACCTATGATCTATCAACACCCTATAATGGACGAGGGAGTGAAGCTGCCAAAATGGGATGCGAATCTCATTCACAGATTCAAATACAACACACGGGCAAACAAGCAATACATGACTTAATCATGGTCTTGGACTGACTTAGTCAACCACGGAAATGCCTATGAATTAAATGCACAAACTAAGCCTCCCACTGCCACCTGGCTTGGTTTTATATATATATATAATCCATGTGATACATATTTGCATCAAAGCCTCCAAACAGTAATAATAAAGTTATTAAAACCTAACTATATAGATATAATTATAATGATAATAGAATTAATAGTAACTTGTAATAAAATCTCCAAATGAAATTATGCTAGTAATTGGGTTCCAACACATGCATTCACTGTAGCTTCATGAACATTGCTTCTAAACAATTCATATAATCCAAATAAGAGTTATAGCCTCCATGGCTTCATTGCAATCCACAAAATGAGAAATAATGTTATGGGATTACATTAGTAAAGATAAGGGAGGAAATTTTATAAGAACTCCAAAAGATAGATGGGTGAGTTCTTAAGTCATTTCCCTCCTCAAAAAGAATATTACAAGCAAATCATCAATTATAATACCCAAAATACACCATGTATCGAAATACAAGTCCAAAAGTAAGGTGGTGGTGCGATTGCTATTGAATGGTGGGTTTGAGTTGTCATAGATTAAGGGCGGATAGCAGAAATGGGGCGATTGGGGAACTGCAGTAGTGCACGGTGAGACGAATCTGGCTTTGGTGACGGCAGCTTGTGCACACCGAGGTGGATATGGGCTGGCTGTGACGGCGATGGGCTGGTTGCGGCTTCAGTTGTAAGCTTAAGGATGATGGCGACGAGCTCGGCTTTGATGGGATCGACCATGGAGGATGTCAGCAGTGATGGAAGCGGTGGCGAGCTCGGATGGGATGAGCTTGGCTATGGCGGATGTCAGCTATGATGGAGGTGGCAGCGAGCTCGGATGCGATGAGCGAGGTTGAGCTCGGATGGTGGAAAGCTGTGCAGTGATGGCGGTGACAGACCGGCGAGCTTGGAACAGAGGACTCGGGCCACTCGGCTGTGATGAGGTTGGAATGATTTATGGCTCTGTGGTTGGATTTGGGTCTGTAATTGGTTTTGTTGTAGATAGTTTTGTAGTTTTTACAATTTGGTCTCTATCGGTTGTGATGGAGTTTTAGGGGCAAAACCGTAACTTTAACAATACACAAAAGTTTTTAGATTTTTTCATTAAACAAATAGTTTAACTCTGAGAATAAAAGTATAAATTCATATCAATCTACTAATCATAAACCAGTTAATTTGGGCCTTTATGTTATATTGTAGCCATCTTTTATTTACATGTACAAGTTGAAAACTTGAGGGTCCTATGTGTAATTTGGCCAAAAAAATTTGACCTAGTGGTATACCAACCTTGTTACGCCAGTGTTTTGTGTATGCATAAAAATTTGGCTGATCCCATTTCTCCTCAGCTATTGAAGTTCCAGCGATGACCTCCAGCAAAAGAATCAAGAACACGCCGTTGGTTGATGTGATAGCCGGCAATGAAGACCTCTTAGTGGAAATCCTCCTCCATTTACCTCCAAGGTGCCTCCTAAGGTTCAAATGTGTATCGAAACACTGGCTCTATCTCATCTCCTGAAGATGCAAGAAACTCCTTCTATCCTTTCTCTCTCTAGAATTCTTACACCTCAACCCAAAAAGATCCCCCTCCATTTCATTCCATCTCCTATTTATAGATATTTACAAGATATTTACAAGATATTTACTGATTGCTGGATCTGGGCCTATTCCTTCGTAAGCCTTGGTCACCTTTGATGGGCTTACTCTCGTTCGGCCCATATGGCAGTGTCCTTCTATGGGCTGGCCCAGCTGTACGGACTGAATGCTATGTTTGCGAGTCGGATCTGGCCCATGTCATCCGGGGCCTCCTCAACTGCCCCCATAATTGCCCCTTATTTAATAAGGGGTAATTATTGATGGCGTCTCATCATGACGTTGACGGCTCGAGATAACCACGTGGGGGAGCGGACGGCCAGATCCAGAATCAATATTCCGGGGCTCGAGGGATTTCTCGCCTTCCCGACGCTTCGGCCCTCGGGCCCCCTCGCCTTTATAATGCTCTAGAATTCCACTTCACTTCCCTTTACCGTCTCCATCATCAGCCAAGTCTCTCTCTTTTCTAGAACAGTGCTAAGCTTTCTCTGGTGAAATCCCTCAAGAGTCATTCTTCCAGCGATCTTGCAGTCCTCCGAGGTTAGTTTAGTTCTTTTTACTTTCGGCAGGCTTCCATTTACCCTCTTGTAGATTCTTCTAGCACTTCCACCATGGTTGTAGATCTGGATGTTCTTCGTATGAGACTTAGACTTCCTGACAACATCGAAGTTAGGGTTTGCCCCCAAGACGTTAATATTACGACCGGCGCCGGCCTCCTGCCCGGCGAAGTCTTATTCACGAACCTTCAATTGAATGTTGTTAGGTTCCCTCTGCACCCTTTCTTTAGTTATGTCTTCAATAGAGTGGGGATATCCCCTCTGCAGGTCAACCCCAACTTCTTTAGAATCATATCTGTTATGCTCTTGTTGATGCGTGACAGAAATCTGGACCTCGACCTCATAGACCTCCTTCTGTGCTATAAGGTGAGTAAGATCCGTACTAACGAGCCCTTCTACCACCTCTACCCGTTCGAGAAGATGTCCATATGTACTGACACAATTAAATCTGAAAAGGGTTGGAGAGATAGCATAGTGGGCATTAGTGGGGCTTGGTCTTCGCCGGCTGCAGAGGGTTACCCAATCCCGAGCGCCTTTGGTGTCTGCTCTGTCTCCTCCTATAAAAAATTCAAATCCCATAAACATGACTGCCCCTGTGAAACATGCGTTCCTCGTTTTTGCACTTTCTTATGCCGCTCCTTAGGAATACCTTGTGATGACTTGAGCTATAGTGTTTGCAGGGATAGGAGTAACTACTTGAAGAGATACGTCCTGAACGATATTCCTTCCTGCTCAGATCTCCTCACTTCAGACAACCTCTTTGCGCTCTCATCACTCGGCTACAACATGAGCAGACTTCAGATTCCCTCTTTTGGCAGGAGGAAAAATACTCCCCCAGCCACTCCTGCTGCTGGGGCGACCTCCTCTCCAGCATCAGCTTCTTCTTCTGCCACCATATCTGACACTGTCCCGAGCGCAGTGGCTACTAACCCTGTTGCCAGCGCCCCTGCTGCCAACCAGAACGCGCCCTCCCTAGCTACCATAGCTCCTGCTGCTGCGGGGGGCGGTCGGGACAAAGAACGAGGCAAAAGGCCTCATCCTGACAGTGAAATCGATCCTGAGGAGGAGCCTCTCATTAGAAAGACCCGGGTCTCTGGGCCGGGTGCTCAGCCGGTAGAGCACGTGGCTTTTAACCACGTGGTCGTGGGTTCGATTCCCACAGACGGCGCCAATTGAAGATGCAAAAAACTCCTTCTATCCTTTCTCTCTCTAGAATTCTTACACCTCAACCCAAAAAGATCCCCCTCCATTTCATTCCATCTCCTATTTATAGATATTTAGAAGATATTTACTGATTGCTGGATCTGGGCCTATTCCTTCGTAAGCCTTGGTCACCTTTGATGGGCTTACTCTCGTTCGGCCCATATGGCAGTGTCCTTCTATGGGCTGGCCCAGCTGTACGGACTGAATGCTATGTTTGCGAGTCGGATCTGGCCTATGTCATCCGGGGCCTCCTCATCTCCAACCCCCAATTCCACCGCCGTCACTCCCGCCGGAACCCTTACTCGGTCGCCACCGCCCTCTTCTATTACAAAAAACTCCCATTTGTCGAGTTCGGCTTCATTCCTCTCAACACCCAACTAAACCAAACCACCACCATACCCTTCCATTTTCTGGATTTCTTCGGCAAATTTTCCGAGGTACGCAACGTGCATTCTTGCAATGGCTTATTTTGTGTCCAAGCGAAGGTTGATTATGATGTGAGTTGTTTCATCTGTGACCCAACAATCAATCAGTCTGTAGAACTTCCCCTGCTAGTTAGAGATCATCCATCTCATGTTGCGGCTTTCAATTTAGCTTTTGATCCGTCAAAGTCACCTCACTACAGAGTTGTTTGCGTTTGGCTGTTGTATAATCAGTCTCGAATGTTTCATTTTTCAATATACACATCAGAAACCCAGCTGTGGAGACACTCCGGTGAGTGTCTGGTGGGTGAACAAGATATATGGTATAATTTCAAGAAAGGGGTGTATTGGAATGGTGCGATTCATTGGGTTTTTAAGTCTCAGCCTTTCTTGTGCTTTGATGTGGATAATGAGTGCTTTAAAGCAATGCCCTCTACTCCAATCACAGATGGGAGAAGCAAGAGGATAATCAAGTATTTCGGACAATCCGGAGGACATTTGCACCTTATTGAGATATATGAGCCTCAAAGGACTATATTTGATGTGTTGGAGATGGAGGGAGACTACTCGAAATGGTTTTCCAAGTATCGGATTGATCTTGATGCACCTACTACTAGTCCGTTTCCATTGATGACTCCCAAAGGATTTAGTATATTTTCTCTTCTTGAGGAAAAGGAAGGCAAGATAAAACTTGTGCTATCAATACCTGGTAAATTTATCTTGTATGATCTTAGTGATATGACTATCAAGGAGCTTCTTGATACAATACCTGCAAATCTTCCCCACAATGCAAAAGATGTAATTCTATGCCGTTGTGTTGGTCAATACATTGAGTCACTTACTTGTGTTTAATGACTCTGTATATTTATAACATTTTTATGCCAAATTAGTTTGTAATCCAATCACTGTCTCTTTGTTGAAACTTATGGAGCCTGCTTGTCCAATTGTGAAATATTTGTCTCAGACAATTATACCAATGGCATTAGCCTGGATGGTATGAACTTTCTCCCGTCTGTTAAGTGGTCAAGCCCTGCTAGGGCCAATATTGTAGATGCATGTGCGTTTGTTTAAACTTTCGGGAAAAAAATTAAAGTTAATTTCTGTAATACCCCTAATTTTGAAAGGATAGTCTCGGTATTATTTAAATTATTTTAATTGCGTTTTAATTATTTCTTTGATTTCTTGGCTAATTGTTTACTTGTTTAATTAATTTAAGTATTTGTTTATGTGTTAATTGAATTGGTTGTTTAAATTAAATGGTGTGCTAAAAGTATGTGTACTTGATTTATTTATGTAAATTAAATTATATATGATGATGTGTATTTGTTTGGGAATTTAATTGTTTTATTTTTATATATAAGGAAAGTCATTTAGGAATAATCTGATGTGTATATTTATATAGGGATTACACATAGATTATACGTAAAGATATATTTTAGTTACCTTTTTAGTATTTACATTTCATTTTATTTTTATTATTAGTTTGACTTGGATTGGGAAAAGGATTTTAGGGTTATTTTAGTTGCCTATAAATATATAACTATAGGGTTGTAAAAGGGGTTAGAACATAAATCACGTAATATATTCTAGAGAGAGAAAAAAAGGAAGAAGAAGGAAGAGAAAAAGGAAGAAGGAGGCTAGGGTTGAAAAAGGAAGAAGGAGGCTAGGGTTTTTTTTATCAAATCCCTAAAGGCAAGTTCTAATTCTTCTCTTCTCCTTTGATTCATACTCTATGCATGCTAGATTAATTATAGGTTCGTTAAATAAATTAATTGGATAAATTACATGAATTAATTTAGAAATTTTAGTTCATGTTTTAATAAAGGGGTTTTATTTATTTTATTTTTCTTCTTTTATGTCGAACAGGTCATGTGTGGTGGTCATGAGTTTAATTTATTTTGTTTTATTTTTACTTGAATTAATGAGACAGTATTGTATATAAATACGAAATCAGAATTTATTTTTGCATAAAGCATGCACACAAAACGAGGCCTTAAGAGTACTGAATTAAAACATAAATTGATTTATTTGTATAAACTCAAAAGTGGACGTGAGAAGCAGTTTTGTGCACAAAGTATGAAATCAAATTTGTTTCTTTCTTAATAAAGGCACGCCGAACGAGGAAGGATGGAAAAAGTCAAAAGGTTATATTAATGCATAAGTTTTGCTATTTGTAATTAATACTAATACTAATAATGGGTTATGCATTTAATTTTTGTTTTTAATGTTGTTTTGATTAAGGTTAGAATATTAAATAGATATTTGTGTGTTTGATTGATGGGTCTGAATTAAATATTTAGATAATTTAATTGGATTCATTAAGCATTGAAATGCATGATTTAAATTTACCTGCTAAGTATGAAATTTAATTAATTTTAAAAGGATAAATTAATTAAATATTGTTGGATTAAATTATTTTAATCAATTGTTGGATTTAAATTAATTTAATCAAAATATGGAGATGTACACTGTAGTTGAGATGCATATTAATATCTTGTGATGTAAATTAAGTGCATGTTACTTAGAATTGATATTTTTGCTCAAAGAAATGCAAAAGATGTGTATATGATGCATATCCTGTTTATTTGGATTATTAGATGTAAATATTATTTACATTATTCTTGGATTGGAAACTTTTATTTGATTATGATATGGATTAATGCACCATTATGGGATGGGGGCATATTAGGGACGGATTAACTTAAGAGTTAAGTCCTACCTATTTTTAATAAGGGAATGGATTAACCATAGTGTTAAGTCCTACTTATTCGTGTCAGGTCAACGGAATAGTTGGATGACATATTATTAAAATAATAATTGTATTGGTTATTATTTTTTTTAGTTGGATAGGACGGATTTTAAATATATAATTATACGCCATGATATGAGCTTGAGTCTCAAGATCAGTGGTTAGGGTGCGTATATTGCCAGGGATGTGTAGCTAGATATAATATAGTTGTGTACCCTGGTAGGTATAGGTACTCATGCCCACTGTATGTGCGTTTTGCATGTTGCCTACTATTCAGGTTGAGACAACTCTATAGTCTAGTGAGGTTCTTTTAGTGTGTATATATCTATATATGGACTATTTAGTTATTGTTGAATTAATTAGGATGTGTATGTGTATCGGGTCTCTGTTTGGGATGTAGTAGATTAGAACTTGTTTGTGGGCCTGACCCACCATTATTTTTCAGGTGTTCGTCAGTTCCAGTCTTAGAGATTGTTCGTGCCGAGCAGAGACAGCCATTCACTCTTCCGATTCTACGTAGGACTCTTCTTCATTAGTTACTTACTATTTTTATTTCGATTCCGTTATTTCAGTTAGGATATTATTAGGGGTCCACAATATGGATTCCCGAGTTGTAGTTTAATTAATTACTATTATCAGAGATTGGAGGATTTTAGTATGGGATTTTTTTTTAATTAATTATCATTTATTTGAGGATTTTTAAATGAGGATTATTTATTTAGTTTTCTTTTCAGCTTCTTTATTCATTCTTAATTCATCTTGTATTCCAATGCTTGTTTAAATATTAATTGTTTGATATCCCTTGTATTCTGTGCTCGGACTTGATCACCCGTGGCTCTAGAATCGAGGGGTATCACAGTTGGTATCAGAGCACTCCAGGTTCAAGTGTCTCTAGGGATCTATCGTTTAAGACTTCCGCGTAGCGTATTCTTTTATTTAGAGCCTAAGTTTAGGATTCATTGTATTCCTTTACGGTCCGCTTAAATCGTACTGATGTTTGTCTTTCGTTGTTAACAGAATGGTTAACGCTAGAAGAAGACGGGACAATCAGAGGAACAGGCAGCATAGGGGAGCGGCACGTAGGCAACAGGATTTCCTACGGCGTCAGCAGATAGAGGAAGGACAACAACTGCCTGGGTTTCAGGAGGAAGATAGTCAGTTGCACAATAGGCAGGAGGAAATGCAGCAGACTACTCAAGAGTCTCAGGATCGAGGCTACAATCAGGGCAGGGATCCGGAGTTTCCTCCCCATATAAATGATCTCATTGCTCGGGCTATAGAAGCAGGTATAACAGCTGCACTTCGAAACCAGCCTCAGGTACAGCCGGCCCCATTACCGGTACCGTTACCAGCTCTGGTTGTTCAGACTGATACTTGGGAAAAGGCCAGGAGTTCTTTCACAAAGGGGAGCCCACCTGAGTTTACAGGCTCCACCGATGCGAGAGCAGCTCACCAGTGGAAACAGGACATCGAGCGACATCTTCGCTTGGTTCAGTGCACGGAGGTTCAAAAGCAGATGCTTGCTGCTTTCAAGCTAGTTGGGGATGCACTACAGTGGTGGGAGTCAGTTACCACCATAGAGGAGAGGATGACATTGACTTATGAGGAGTTCAGTGCGCGTTTTGAAGAAAAGTACTTTCCTTATGCAGTCAGGGCAGCTATGAAGACTGAGTTTCTTAATCTACAGCAGGGGAACATGACGGTGGCGGAGTATGAGCAACAGTTCACGCGCTTATCTCTATTTGCACCAGAGGAGGTGAATACAGAGGAGAAGAAGCGCAACAGTTTCGTTAAGGGACTGATGTGGTCTATCAAGAGAGCTATTACAGGTAGTCCAGCCTATACTACTTATGCTCAGGTGGTAGATGCCGCTCTTCAGCAGTATCAGTTGACTATGGATTTCAGACAGGCCAGGGGTGAGAAGCGGGGCGACAGAGACTCTGCTAATCAGTCAGCTGAGAAAAAGAATGGGAACGGACACCGACAGAATGACAAGGGTAAGTTCCAGGGACAACAGCCTTGGAAGAAGCACAAGGGTGGTTCAGATGCTCCCAGGGATGTGGCACCTATTCAGCGACAACAAAATGGGGGACCACAGGCAGGACAGGGTCAGCCACTGGCTAATCGACAGAAGAGGCCATTTGGTACTTTCCAGGGTAGTTGCTACACTTGTGGAGAGTATGGTCACACTTCCAGGCAGTGTCCTACAGTAAGACAGGGACATGGACAGCATGTACAGCAGGGGCAGAGGGCGCCAGTGCCTTTACCAGCTCCACAGGTACCACGGATTCAGGGACAGACATATCCGGCTTTACCAGCACCGCCGCAGCCTCAGGGACAGGCACCGCAGCAGTTACATTATGGCAGGGTGTACAACCCCATGCCACAGGATATGCAGGCACCTCAGGCTGTTGAGGGTAAGTTTCCGATTCATGGTTTACTTGGACGTGTTTTATTTGATACGGGTGCTACACACTCGTTTGTAGCTAGGTCATTTGTTGCTTTGTCTGGGATGATGACTCGAGTATGCAGTAAACCACATGGAATCACTACACCGTTAGGAAATACAGCCATTCTTCATGAGAGTGATGGGCCTGTGACACTAGATATTGGTAGACTCAGATTTCTAGCCAATCTTTTGGTCCTGGACATGCACACTTATGATGTGATACTTGGGATGGATTGGTTATCGCATTACCATACCCAAATTAATTGTTATGATAGGTCTATTGTTTGCACCATACCTGGTCAAGACATGTACGTCGTCGCTATGCCACGTTCTAACGGGGTCACTAGCACCTATTTGTTCCATGTGAAGGAGGAAACGGAGGAGGGGACTACTGTATTATTGGATAACATACCAATTGTACAGGATTTCCCGGATGTATTTCAGGAGATTCCAGGGTTGCCGCCTAGTCGAGAAATCGACTTTGTGATAGACTTAGCTCCAGGCACTACGCCTATTGCTAGGGCACCGTATAGGATGGCCCCAGTAGAGATGCGTGAGCTGAGGGATCAGATTCAGCAGCTACTCAGCCAGGGTTTCATTCGTAGGAGTACTTCACCCTGGGGAGCACCGGTTTTATTTGTGAAGAAGAAAGATGGTTCGCTCCGCTTGTGTATAGATTACAGGGAGTTGAACAAGGTTACTATTCGTAACAAGTATCCTTTGCCCAGGATTGATGACTTGTTTGATCAGTTGAAGGGAGCTACTTATTTCTCTAAGATTGATCTGCGGTCCGGATATCATCAACTTCGGGTTCGGGAGCAGGATGTTCCGAGGACAGCATTTCTCACTAGATATGGA